TATGGAACGGAAGTGTCGAGTTTTTTAAGCTGTAACTATTGTGTATGGCTTGCATGTAGTACTGGTTCAATCAAACATATAATTTACAATAAAGCCGTGTTGTGCTTTTTCTAAAATTCTGGAAACAAAGTGATCCCTCGGAAGCATTAATCACAACAAAATAACATAAGAATTGCAGACTCGGTTTGATTGAGTCTGTACACGAGGGATGATGAATAAGTGCAACATCCCTCACGCCCCCTAGCACCGGCTTGAGCGGTACTCAATTCTCAACACTTTATAGTGTTGGCATCAATGATCCCGAAGGACCAGAAAATATAACAACACTGAAGTGAAGTACGGGGCAACTTTTTACGGCTGCCACACGGCACTTGACACCTGCTGTTGTGAAGTACAAAATTCTGGAAACAAAGTGATCCCTCGGAAGCAATAATCACAACAAAATTACATAAGAATTGCAGACTCGGTTTGATTGAGTCTGTACATGAGGGATTATGAATAAGTGCAACATCCCTCACGCCCCCTAGCACCGGCTTGAGCGGTACTCAATACTCAACACTTTATAGTGTTGGCATCAATGATCCCGAAGGACCAGAAAATATAACAACACTGAAGTGAAGTACGGGGCAACTTTTTACGGCTGCCACACGGCACTTGACACCTGCTGTTGTGAAGTACAAATTTCTGGAAACAAAGTGATCCCTCGGAAGCATTAATCACAACAAAATAACATAAGAATTGCAGACTCGGTTTGATTGTTTCCATTTTATTTCAAATGTATATGGCAGGATTATTTCAATTACATGTATTGTTATATTATTGCTTTCTATACCGGTCACCTGATTCGATAATCTTTACTGAACATCTAAAAAAGTCTGAATTTTTAAACACATTTCTGATAGTCAAGTTGATAAGTTTTATCATACAACTTGATATGCATTCTAATACATACGTTATCGATGACTGATCGTCAATGGTTGCCTCCGTTTTGTTTCCATGACATGTGAAAGACGAAAATATAATTTTACCGGTTATTTATCAAAAGATAATTTTACTCTGGAACACGTTTGTCTGTGCTTTAAAGGCATCTTTATTTTTTGCAAATGTACAAAATTCCGTTCAAATTATTACAGCTAGCGTTGATTATATATGTAATCGCCTAAAAATCACAATATATGTTATTTTGGTTTTGGAGTGATATATGTGGATATATTACCTGTCTGATATTTTATCTTGGCAAGTAATATATCCACATATATCACTCCAAAACCAAAAAAAAAAAATTTTATTACCCTTCCCCTGTCGAGCTTAGACGATTTTAAAATAAATCATTGCTACTTCAAATGAAACGTCGAAATAAGATTCCCTTTAGGGTACCCCTTCCCCACAACATGACGTCACATAAATACATGACGTATATTCTTTCGAACGTAAAGAATGTAAACAAGAGAAAATGAGTAGTCTGTTGAACGCACTTTTTTGGAATAAATATCAAGGTCATATTTGTTTTCAATACTGATGAGAATATGTATCATTACTCTATTTTGGTAAATATTTATCATGTGACAGTTAAAAAGTGCATGTAAATCTGAATTTACATCATGTAAGATAAAACCGTACACGCATCGTCACAGCGCATGTTGTTTACAATGTGGGGTACCCAACGGGGAAATTTAATGTGTATATTACCCGTCTGGCTCGGTAATGTCACTTTCTTTTGGGTGGTCAATAGCCAATCAAAAAGGCAGAGAAAGTCTGGAAGGGTAATAAAGACCTATAATTATGTTAACAAATTAATAGTTCTACCTCGTGACATCAGCTAAAAACAAATCAAACGTATTTTACGTCAAACGGAACATAATGTCAATATTAGTGAAATAGTGATTGAAATATATGTCTGACAAACAGAATCAATCAAATGATGTCCATTTCTAGCCAATTATAGCCAAATATGAAATATCGTATGAAATATCGTTAACAGGCATACAGTTTGTACTTTTGGTTTTCAAAAACATATTAGTTAGCAGATAAATGATATACTTTTAACTTGTATATATTTAAATTGACTTAATTTAAGTGGACTTGTTCGAGATATTATGAACATTATGTAACTCAGCCAATCCAAGCATTTAGATTTTATTTTTTAGATTTTTTGGCGGATGTTAGACCGAAATAGTTCTGTGTATTCATACTCGTACAGATGTGCTCGAAGTCCTTAGTTTGTAATATATGCATGTGTAAAGTGAGTAAGGATTGTATTTATTATTACTCTCTGATAGATAAAGTATATTTGTTATTATTATGACATATGTCTGACAATCAGTATTTGTTTAAGAATGCACATTGACATGATAACTAGTTCTGCCTTCCAAACCTTTATATGCAGCTTTTTAACATTCTTTTTCTTTTATCTGTTGCGGCAATACGAGCTAACTTTGAGATAAGACACATTCAATTGACTTCTTTTATCTGCAAATCTCACTTTCACAATTATAATTCCTGTGGATTATTACAACATAAATAATAGATCATTAAGAGTCCAACTTGCTAGCAATTTCCAAATAGTGTGACATGTATCTGGAAGAAAATATGTAAAAAGAATGCAGGTGGTCTCTGAGAAGAGGTTGAAATACGTATGACCATTACATTTATGTTTCATTAGCCTTCTTAAAATCGGCTACAGAAACCATAAGTATAGGAAACACAGTCCACCCGCATACAGTGACCCATAGTATAGTTTCGACAACAGATTCTGATTCTGCGATGAATTAACAGAAGTTTTGGCATTATATTTAAACCATGATTATGGCTTGAATGTCGATTTTTTCATAGTTTTTTTTGTTAATGTTTTGTTTTAGAAGGATGTGTATTCAATGGAAATATATAGGTCACATTTAATTTAAAGGAACGTTAACATACATTTTTTTCTTTATCATACTTCGTAATTGCTTATATACATTTTACAACATTTATCATAAACTATTTCACATTCATTGCTATTTACTTCAGGTAATTTTTCAAAAATAAGCATCTCATTTATACTTAATCTATCATAATAAATTACATGTTTGTCCTTTCTATAGACGAACTATGATACTCGTGTCATAGGCATAATGTACATATTAAATATTTAATTGTTCCCTTATCTTACCTTTATTGTCGCCTTTAGTGCTGGTTGCAGTGATGTTACAAGCAGATCCTAAATAGTTTAATATACACCCAAAAGTGCAATTTCCACCGACTCTTTCGCATTTTAAGTTCAAACATCTGTCATTGTACTTAAGGTCACATCGGTCTCCGTACCTCCCAAGTACACAATCAAAAGTACAAAACCCATTTTCTCTTCCACAAGCGCCACCCATGCAGCTTTTGCTGCAAAGTATATCACATTTATCTCCGTAAGTTCCTAACTTACATCCTTTATCACAATATCCAGTATCTCTGTTGCATGTCCCTCTCTCACAACTTTCATTACATGAAATATTACAACGACAACCATATACCTCTGTAGTTGTGCATCCATCTGTGCAATTTCCAGATTCATGATCACATAAGCCATTATTACATCCTTTTGGACAATGTGCATGTTCATGACAACGCTGACCATGTACTGTTGAAGTTTTACATCCCTCGGTACAGTTTCCAGATTCTTGGTCACATGTGTCATTTAATACACCCACTAGATTGGACAAGGTTAATCACAACGCTGACAAGTTGTACATCCCTAGGTACAATTTTAAGATTCTTGATCATATAAGCCATTACAAGCTTAAAAGTGGCCTTTCATGAAAAAGTAGGAAAAAATAGGAACGAGTTCAAGAAAAAATAAAAGAAAGAAGGAGTTTGATTACAAATGGTAGGAATAAATTTGAGAAACATACCAAAAAATCGCATATAAATTTATTCACTTTAGCAGTGCAGAATATTTTAGAAAAACGGCAGTCACTTGATATAAGGGCCGTCTTACTTCAGGAAGCTCTAAAATCTTTTGTACATGCTGCTGTCAAACTTATTCAATTTATAAATACAATTGAACATTTCAAACAAAGTATAAAATACAGTGAAAGTACATTACAGTGCTGTTCAAGAGATAGAGACTGGGAACAAGGTGGTAAAATTCGTAAGGTGGTAAAACTTCTTTTCTAAAATAAACAGGCTATTTTTGTAGTGCACATGAAAAAGTAATTGTGACCTGTCAGGAAAAATAGAATAAAATGCAGGCAAAACTTCAATTTCAGACTTCAGTCAGTCATTGGACACCAAACAGTTCAGTGTCGCTTATGCATGCTCGATTAAAACTTTGCACCTAGATTTACAAGCAAAATTACTGCCAGTACAGGCAAACCAAGTATAAATGCTCTCATGTGCAAATACACAAGAAGATATTGATTATATGAAAGTTAGAGTTTCACTGGAGTGGCATATACTAAATGTTGCATACAACTTGATTAACAAGCAAAACTACTGCCAGATAGGTAAAACACCACAAGGAAAAATGCTCACATGTGCAAATACACAAAAATCTAATGAGTATATAATATAAGATTGAGTCTCAATGGTTCATTAAATGTTGCAAAGCAATCCTATCTAAAAAGCAAAAATACTGACAGATGTGTAAAAGAACCAAAAGTACGACTGGTTTCATGAGCAAATACACAAAGCTATTTGGTATGCACTTGTTGTGGATTGGCATAATTATATATTTAAAGCAAAAAGCAACTGACAAACATCAGAATCACTGGAATAAAATGATTTGCACTGTAGAAGAGTTTTATTAAAGTTATTTTTCAGTTTCATTTGCATGTAAAAACCGTAGAAATCTAAAATACCATCTGCTTAGAGACAAGGTGCAGGCAAAACAACACTGCTGCAAGGAATTCTACTCTTACAATTTCCAAACATCAAAGAATATGTAAAATACGTACGGCAAATATTTGTCCACATTATATGTAATCATTAAAATATATGTATTCATTTCTTATTAAAACAATTGACTTAGAAATTATAGAAAATAAATTTCTAATTACCTCCCTTTATTAACATAAAATGTAAATTCGGTAATATCTTTACAAATAATGTTTTTTTGAACTTACAATATTGATAAATCTTCATTTGAGCATTATATTTATGCTATAAAACCATAAAAAATTGAGTTTCAGGATCTTTAAAAGACACAGTAAATTAAACATTTCTATAAATGCTATTATGGTCATTTTACAAAATATCTTTTCAATTGTGGTAATCAGTGTTTTTCTGAATGAGAAGAATTACTTTTACTCATAACTGAGGTTTAAGTATATAAGTGTTTCTCTTCACTCATTATGCACCTATCAATACAAACATGGATAATCAAAAACTTTTAGCAGAAAGAAAATCTAAAATCCTACACGCGTGTCGTTATTTCTTATTGAAAAAAGTAAATTCTGTACAAAGACATGACATTTCATAAGAAATTTCAAATATTTAAAATAAAGGTATACTAATCCTTGTATCCCTACTAGACCTATTGATAGGTGCATAAGTCCACCTCAGTGTGCACATCGGTTGGGCATATGGAATTTCTACGGCGCACATCATTCACATAATAGGTAATACAAGTTCAAAATGTTTTTGCCTCCAAGGCAAGAACATTCAGCAGTTCACACAAATTAAGAAAGGTTACAGCTTGCCTATGAGGTCAAAAGGAGTATGTTCAAGGATTCTTAAAGAACCTTAACAATAGTATAACAGTATATGCTATAAGTCTTTATATTATGAAGCATATTTCATTTTGCAAAATACTTTAGTTTAAAAAACAATTATTGCATTAAACACATGTTTAAAAACATATTATACAAATAATGAGTATATATCAAAATGCAAATGGGTTGGGCAACAAGTTCTTACAACATTAGATGAATCCCTTCCCAGAAAAAGACTTAAACATGTTGATAAAGACACTTTTCAGTTTCAATTTTATTCAAAAAGAAGTTATTGTAGGAATATTGTCTAAAAAAGTAGGAGTATTTCAAAAAGTAGAAAAAGTAGGGGAAAGTAGGAAAAAGTAGGAAAATGTAGGACTACTTTCAAGCCTGCGGCATTATTACACCCGCTTGGGCAAGGTGCATGTTCATCACAATGCTGACCATACACCGCTGTTGTTATGCACCCATCTGTACAGTTTCCAGAATCTTGATCACATGTGCCATTGAAACACCCACTTGGACAAGGTTCATCACAACGCTGACCATATACTGTTGAAGTTTTACATCCCTCGGTACAGTTTCCAGATTCTTGATCACATGTGCCATTGAAACACCCACTTGGACAAGGTTCATCACAACGCTGACCATATACTGATGAAGTTTTACATCCCTCGGTACAGTTTCCAGATTCTTGATCACATGTGCCATTGAAACACCCGCTTGGACAAGGTTCATCACAACGCTGACCATATTCTGTTGGAGTTGTACATCCCTTGGTACATTTTCCAGATTCTTGATCACATGTGCCATTTAAACACCCACTTGGACAAGGTTCATCACAACGCTGACCATGTACTGTTGAAGTTGTACATCCTTCGGTACAGTTTCAAGATTCTTGATTACATGTGCCATTGAAACACCCACTTGGACAAGGTTCATCACAACGCTGACCATATACTGTTGAAGTTTTACATCCCTCGGTACAGTTTCCAGATTCTTGATCGCATGTGCCATTGAAACACCCACTTGGACAAGGTTCATCACAACGCTGACCATATACTATTGAAGTTGTACATCCCTTGGTACAGTTTCCAGATTCTTGATCACATGTGCCATTTAAACACCCACTTGGACAAGGTTCGTCACAACGCTGACCATATACTGTTGCAGCTGTACATCCTTCGGTACAATTTCCAGATTCTTGATCACATAAGCCATTATTACACCCATTTGGACAAGCATATTTATCACAACGCTGACCATACACCGCTGTTGTTATGCATCCCTCGGTACAGTTTCCAGATTCTTGATCACATGTGCCATTGAAACACCCACTTGGACAAGGTTCATCACAACGCTGACCATATACTGTTGAAGTTTTACATCCCTCGGTACAGTTTCCAGATTCTTGATCACATGTGCCATTGAAACACCCACTTGGACAAGATTCATCACAACGCTGACCATATACTGATGAAGTTTTACATCCCTCGGTACAGTTTCCAGATTCTTGATCACATGTGCCATTGAAACACCCGCTCGGACAAGGTTCATCACAACGCTGACCATATACTGTTGAGTTGTACATCCCTTGGTACAGTTTCCAGATTCTTGATCACATGTGCCATTTAAACACCCACTTGGACAAGGTTCATCACAACGCTGACCATGTACTGTTGAAGTTGTACATCCCTTCGGTACAGTTTCAAGATTCTTGATTACATGTGCCATTGAAACACCCACTTGGACAAGGTTCATCACAACGCTGACCATATACTGTTGAAGTTTTACATCCCTCGGTACAGTTTCCAGATTCTTGATCGCATGTGCCATTGAAACACCCACTTGGACAAGGTTCATCACAACGCTGACCATATACTGTTTGAGTTGTACATCCCTTGGTACAGTTTCCAGATTCTTGATCACATGTGCCATTTAAACACCCACTTGGACAAGGTTCGTCACAACGCTGACCATATACTGTTGCAGCTGTACATCCTTCGGTACAATTTCCAGATTCTTGATCACATAAGCCATTATTACACCCATTTGGACAAGCATATTTGTCACAACGCTGACCATACACCGCTGTTGTTATGCATCCCTAGGTACAGTTTCCAGATTCTTGATCACATGTGCCATTTAAACACCCACTTGGACAAGGTTCATCACAACGCTGACCATATACTATTGAAGTTGTACATCCCTCGGTACAGTTTCCAGATTCTTGATCACATGTGCCATTTAAACACCCACTTGGACAAGGTTCGTCACAACGCTGACCATATACTGTTGCAGCTGTACATCCTTCGGTACAATTTCCAGATTCTTGATCACATAAGCCATTATTACACCCACTCGGACAAGCATATTTATCACAACGCTGACCATACACCGCTGTTGTTATGCATCCCTCGGTACAGTTTCCAGATTCTTGATCACATGTGCCATTTAAACATCCACTTGGACAAGGTTCATCACAACGCTGACCATGTACTGTTGAAGTTGTACATCCTTCGGTACAGTTTCCAGATTCTTGATTACATGTGCCATTTAAACACCCACTTGGACAAGGTTTATCACAACGCTGTCCATATACTGTTGTGGTAGTACATCCTCCTGTGCATATTCCAGAATCTTGATCACAAGTTCCGTTTATGCATCCATAAGAACAAGCTTCTGTGCATTTACTTCCCCAATATCTGTTGCCATTACAACCATACACGCATGTCCCATTAATTTCATTACAAACACGGCGTGAATAATCTGATGGTTTCATACAGTTTGTGTTGCATGGGCTGTAACAATTTTCTCCCCAGTATGTAACAGTGCATCCATTCACACATTGACAAGTTTGATTACATTGTTGTTCCAAACATCCATCTTGACATTGTATTTCGCAAGTTGATCCGCAATAGTTTGGATATTTACATCCAGAACATGTTCCTTTAAAACATTAGATACTATATAGATTTGAATGGTGTATGAACAATAATAGCATACAGACAATTATCTGATTATACAACATTATTTCTATATTGCATATTATGTGAGAAACTTGAATCGTTCTAGTGTACTTGTTTTCCATATTAGATGAATTAATGCGTCATTTGTCTATCCTTGTTGCTAATAACCCTGCATTTTACGCCTGAATGGGCATTGTGTTGATGATTTTCTTTTTCTGATGAAGACGTATTTAAGTAGTAAAATGTATTGTCTTGATTGTTTGCAATTAAACGAACGAACCTTAATATTTTGATATTTGTAAAGGTATCCAAATGTAAAATAACTTTTAATGCAGCAGTACAAATACTCCAACTTGAAGACATGGAACACAAAACTCTACATGAGGCATAAATGTAGATGATAAAGCTTGGTAAATGCAAAAGTTACTGCCTTTAGGTCATTATCACAGTCTTTGTAGATCCAAGTCTAATACTTCCCTTAAAATGTACATGATTTCCATATTCTTATACATTTGTTTAAAATCAATCGTTACTTCTTGATAATAAAAGTTCTGAGATAAATTTTACCAGTGTAAGAGGCTATGCAGTTCTACTTGTTACAAATCAAAACTTAACAGCTAAACCTTAAAAGTATTATTGCAAACATTATTCAAATATCAAAATAGCACAGTTACTTGATCGATTCCAACAGATGTGCTAAACTCCAAATATAAATTACACATATGACAATACTGCCGATTGTTTAACTTTTTTGGAACAGTTACTTTTGAAAATAATTAATACTCAGTTGAAAGGAAATGAAACGATAGAAGCTGCTTTAGTATTATAACAGTTTAGTTAAGTTTAAAAATGTCGTCATAATTTGTGATATTGAAAAAAATGTATTAACATATCGAAAAATTTTGTTATTAATCAAATTGATATCAATCAGTTTTGAAAGTACTGTCTTGGTGTACTTATCTAATACGCTGTATTAGCAAATCTAGTTTAAATTGATATCATAAATATTCTTAATCTCTCGTATAATAACATTTTGCGGAAATTATTTATATAAACACAAGAATTACCAGTTTCTGTTAACTACTTCTACAGGTGGAACTGAACTGTTCCCCACATTGCCGGTGTCTAAACTGTTGCATATCCTCTCTGGCTACAGATCGGCTCAGTACTTAGTGGGGTTACAATAAACAGTAGTCCGATGGAAATTACCGTGACTCATGTAAGTTGCTATTTCTTGCATTCAATTCCGCTGCAAGGACCAATTATCTTTCTATAATTAAAAAGATTAAAATCTAAAGCTTTGTAATGAAATGTATCTAATCGAACAAGTACAGGATATATACATGTTTGAGGTCTAGGTTTACGATTTAATTAGATATTTATATAAGTGTATAAAATCAACACAGTAAATTTACATTAACAGGGTAATTTGATATTTTAACTTCGAATTTCATTTTGCCGAAAGTTCATTACAATAAATCTAAATTCACCCGTTTATGTTTATGAGGATCTATTGAGAATACTAGATGTTCCAATCATGATTCTTGAACTATATAAGTAGATGTTTAAATGCATCCTGAGTTTTTTTGAAATATATGCACTTATTTGAGATTAATTGAGGTGTGATATATATTTCTCTATAGTGAAACATTTTATGGGATGTGATGGACGGAATAGTGAATCGTGATTTTGTTTAAAATATTTTTCCTTTCATGAAAGGACTTGGTTCTCTTATGGCCAAATTTGTCAAATGCTCTGGCACATACATTTTTTTACAAAATGTGCAAAGAATAATCGCAAAATTCACAGATTTTCCCAAACTAGGATGTCTAAGAGTTTTTGTTGTTGTTTTGTGTGTGTGCGTATGTGCGCGTGTGTGTATGAAATGTTCATCAATAATCATCATGGGCACGTATTAGCATAGGTCTAGAATGGATCTGCATACATGTATAAACAAACACATTTCATTTAGTTAAGCCAAAAGTTGTTTTTTTTTTTCAAAATTTTAGGGCACTTTTATTAGGTAAGTGAACCAAGCCCTTTTATAACGAGCTTCAAAGTTAGTTCTATTTAGAATAAAATATTGATTCTATAGAAAATCTATTTCTATAAAAACTGTTTATTTACTCGTTATCTTTCTTTTCGATGCATTGTCCACAGTTGGGGTCTATGTCAGAACATCTTTGTGTACAGTTTGAGCCATATAATCCATCTTTACAACCATGTAAACATTCGCCATATATGGTTACATGTCCCTGGTTCATTTTCTGCTGGATATATACATGTATCTGGGCATTCATAAGAACAATTTGGACCAGCAAAGCCCACAATACAGCCATATATACATTCACCAGTATTAGTGTTACATGTCTCCGTTCTATTACTTGCACCTCGTTCACAAAAACTGCTGCATGTAATATTTGCTGCTCTAATTGTGTCTGAAAATGTTTTATTCAAATATATTATTGTATTAACGGAAAATGATAACATTTTCATACAAATAGAGGTGAAAAAATGGGTCAAACACGGAAAGGCCGGGTTGCATTTGTATACTAAATATGACGAGGCTGTGATGTAACGAAAACTTTTAACCACTGCCCCTTAATGTTTGAAAGTTTAACTAAGCCACACAACGGGAAGTGAATGAGCAACAGACCTGTAATCATATATCATAATATGGGGACAAATAGTTAATGATGTATGCAAAATGTCAAGAGGTTGTGATAATTAGTTGTTGAGAAAACTATTACGAAAGTTTCCTACCATTGACCATTAATGTCAAAATTTCACTCAGTTGGTTAAACGTAATCGGTCAGTTATGGCCACGTTGTTTATGTAGTCATTTCAGGTAGGCTGTGATAGTAGTTGTGGATTCTATTCGAAATTCTTTATGACAATTAAATGTTCGAAATTAATTAATCGGATAAACGGGAGTAGATGAGCGACAGACTTGAAATCAAACCCCACAGTATGAGACCATGTTTTAATGCTGTGTACCATATATCAAGAGCCCGTGATAAGAAGTTGCTGAGAAAACTGTTACGATTGACCATTAATGTCGAAAACTTAACTAAGTTGGTAAACAGGAGGTGGATGAGCGACAGACGTGAAATCAAATCCCACAGTATGAGACCATGTTATAATGCGGTGTACCATATATCAAGGGGTTGTAATAAGAAGTTGCTGAGAAAACTGTTACGAAAATTTCCTTCCATTGACCATTAATGCCGAAAATTCAAGTCCGTGAAAAGGATGTGGCTTGGCGACAAACCTGAAATAAAATACCACAGTATGGGACCATGTTTTAATGCTGTGTACCAAATATCAAGAAGCTGTGATAAGAAGTTGCTGAGAAGACTGTTACGAGAAATTTTCCCCGCCGCCCGCTTGCCCCCCTCCGATATTCACCATACATAACCCGCGGTTTGCACGATGTACAACCCGAACAAAGATAGATAAGAACATTAAAACATTAAATAAGTTGAATCAACTAGAAAATGTGCTTAATTTATAGTAAGTGCTATTCTCCACAGACGTTCTATTATGTATTACAATTGAACCAGTACTATTTAAATATGAAGACGAACTTTATTTTTGTAGCGACATTGGTAAGATTGTATACATATCTTGACGGCAAATTACCATAG